AAGGCCACGGAACGAACACACAGTGGGCCGACACCAAAGTAAGCGGCACGGCGACAGATCGGAGACAGACAGACGAGGAGACTGAAGACGCGGCGAGAGACACGCATAGTGACTCAAACATGATTGGTAGAACAGGCACACGCAAGGAAGGACGGTATAAAGACGAGGGCCGTGAGCCAGAGTATCCATCCTCTGAAAATGACTAGACGAGACAACTACCCGAAACATCAGGCTTGTAATAAACCTCTCCCGATGAACGCTCCGTTTTCTTCTGATTTACCACCCGGGAATCGAATTTTCAGTAAAATTACGACTTCTTTAAATTTCATAGGAAAAAAAGGGTATCCTTCGGTTTTAGAAAGGTTTCTAATTATGAGATTCGTTACGACTGTCAGGTGTTTATTCATAATATACTGTATCCGTCAATGTATTAGTGCTGTCTATAATGTATGCAGCATGCTCCACATCTATTGCAAAATTTTATGAGAACTATGTGACTCTTCCGCAAACCTTAGGCGAAAACGTACTTTTCTTTAAACAGGATTTACACAGCATGCTGTTTGGAAAACTTGAATTCAGCTGTAGCAATCGGCAAATTGCAAAAGTATTCGGCAATTTACAAACCCCTTTAAAACCGAAAGATACCCTTTTTTAAGTAGAAAATTTAAAGAAGGCGTAATTTACTAGCAAACGATTGCAAGCAAAAATATTTTCGTACATGTTTTCTGTAAAATATATTTGAATTTATCCAGGCAGCCCAAATCAATGATAGAAATGCATATTATTTAAGTAGCCATTTTTTACAGAATCTGCCTTTCATAAGCGGGCGGAAAGAAGTTCATTAAAAAGCTGGCATCCTGACGTGACTGAAAAGACTTGAGATTAGACTGCATGCTAATCAGTATTGCAATCCTACCTTATGTTGGTTTACGAGTGACCGCCAGTCTTCTGCAAATTGTGGCATTTTGCTTGCAGCACTCGCCCGAAAGTGCTGTAGCATGAATATAACGTGCATATAATAATATAATGCAGTAATGAGTTAATATAATAATATAATTTGCATGTAGTTCAGTATGCGTGTACGACTATCGCATTGCACTGGAATGGAAATGTCAAAACCACGGCGAATAGGATATCGTGACGGTAAGAACGCAAGCGTGCCGAGTAGGCAAATACGTTTCCCTACAAGATGTATCCTTTTGTTCCTCCCATTTGAAGACACCATCGCATTAGAAATGTAAAGAGAAATAAAATGCAGCCCTGCTACTGACTGTCATAAGGGGGGGGGTAGGGGCATACCTTAGTGCTGCGAAACTCGGTTCGAGTTCGTCGGCTCCGAGAAATGCATTGATCATGTTGCGTAGATCGCGACATGGTACGCGTTTAAGATCCGAAAGGAAGACCTTGCAAGGTCGAAAAAACGTGAAAGAGAAGTGTCTTGACTGTGTGTGCTGCGGAGTGAGACCTGAAAGCAAATGCAGGCGAAATTCGAGTTAAGGTTGGTTGTATAGATAACACAAACAAAACAGCAGTCTGCATCTCACTAGGATCGTGTGACAACACACTCAAAGATGCAGTCAGTGCGCACCGCCAAATGCAGCCGTGTTTTGGACTCAGACTGCCTACATAAGGACACAGATTTGCGACAACTGGTGTCTGTCACGACACGCCTACACAAATTGGGCAAGGCTGCGCGTTCGAGCTTTGGGTGCCACAACACCTGGAGCCGAGTGTGGCTGGCCGATGACGGTTAATAAGCCAGAAATTATCAATTTAGTCTAGCTAGTCCTTGTCAGTTAGTTCAA